AAGATTTTATTTTTCTGAAGCGCCCTCTGCTGGACACGGTGGGTTCCGCGGCTCGGATTGTAAAACACCCGAGCCCTAGGAGATGAAATAGTTAGATGGTCTGTACTTGTTCATTTTCTCCAACCTGCCCTGGTGTCTGGGCTGGAGCGATAGCACAGCGGGTAGGGCGTTTGCTTTGCCCGCTAACCGACCCGGCCAACCCGAGTTCGATTCCTCCGCTCCTCTCGGAGAGACTGGCACCCTCGTAGGCACTATGCCAAACACAGTAAGTAACAAGTCTCACAATGGACACGTTACTACGTTACTGGGCCCCCTCGAGCAAACAACGGGAGGACAGGTTGTCTGCGATGCAACGGCCCAGGTCCCCGGGAGGAGACTGGTTCTCATTTGCTCGTTCTCATGCTCACTAAATATTGAGCGTTTTACTATATTCTTTCCGTACTAGATGCTACTCTGAATGAAGGCACCAAGCAAGGGGCAAAGAGCCCACCCTGTCAGCAATTCCACTTCTGGATGTGTGCACAAAAAAATGGAAAGGCGGGGCGGAGAGAGCGAGTACAACAGGTGAGGTGTTTTCGTTGCATGTGGCTGCCCTGGGTTCGGTCTCCATCACCCCATAGGGTCCTCTGAGCTCAGAGCCCGAAGTAACCCGAGCATCGCCAGGTATGACCCAAAACCAAAAAAATTTAAATAAAAAAAAAAAGAGAAGGGAAGTTTTGAAGAGATCTGATTCACGCCACAAGATAGGAGGGGTTGGCACAAAGAGAGGACAGTGTTTGCCTTGCACTCTGACAACCCGAGTTCAGTCCCCAGCTCCCTATGTGGCCCCTTGAGCACCTCCAGGAATGATCCCTTGGTGTAGATTCAGGAATAAGCCCTAAAAACTGTTGAGTGTGGCCCCCCAAAAAAGGTTTTTAGGGGCCGGAGCAATGAAACAGTTGGTAGGGCGTTTGCCTTGCATGTGGCTGACCTGGGTTCAATCCTCGGCATCCCATATGGTCCTCTGAGCACTGCCAGGGGTAATTTTTGAGTGCAGAGCCAGGAATGACCCCTGAACATCGCCGGGTGTGACCGAAAAAGCAAAAAAAAAAAAAACAGGCTTTTAGTAATAATTGTAAAAAAGACTACGGACCTCAAAGATAGTACAGCAGGTAAGGCACTTGCCTTGCATGGGACTGATCTGGGCTTGATCTCCCGCATTCCATAAGGTCCACTGAGCCCTGCTAGGAAGGATCTTTGAGCACTGCCAGGAGTGAAAAAAAATAAATAAAAAAGGGGCTGGAGAGAGAGCACAGCGGGTAGGGCATTTGCCTTGCACGCGGCCGACCCAGGTTCGATTCCCAGCATCCCATAGGGTCCCCTGAGCACCGCCAGGAGTAACTCCTGAGTGCAGAGCCAGGAGGAACCCCTGTGCATCGCCAGGTGTGACCCAAAAAGCAATAAATAAATAAATATAAAAGAGGGGGATGACAACAAAAGACTGTGACATAAATCACGCACACAAGGACACATCCTAGCTGAACCCCCTCATGGAGTTCCCTAAGGGAGTCCCTTTCATAGAGACAGGAAGCGGAGAGCCACACTATGTGCAAATGGCCTGGGGCAGAATCCAGCCTGGAAAAACAGCAAGGAGGCCCCAGGAGCTGGAGTGGAGGGAGGAAGGGAGAAAAGAGAGCAGGGAGAAGACTGGGCAGGTGATGGAGGGCCGGGTGGGCGCCGGGAAGACCTGGGCTTTGTCTCCAGGAAGCCCGGGGTGTTGCAGGACCATTGCTGACAGAGGAAGGAGATTCTGCTCACGCGCGCCCTCTGGTGGCCCCCGCGGGAGGACAGGCCTTGGGGAATCGGGGTCCCCCTACAAGGCAGAGAGCCCGGCGGGGGTGGGGGTGGGGGTGGGGGTGGGGTGGGAGGGGAGATGTGGCGAAATTCTGAGGTTAGAGCTCCAGGGAGGTTTCCAGGAAGCACTGGAGATGGTGACAGCAACGCAAGACAAAGAGGCGAGTCAGGGTGACCCCGAGAACTTGGGTCCGCCTTCTTGGAAAGACTGACTCCCCGGGACGAGGGACGGGCCGGGGCATCTTGGGGGGCAGGAGGAGGAGGACCACCGGGTCTACACGTTGTGGTCTGGGAGGGGGGAGATGGTGAGGGTGCTGGATCAAGCAATTTCATCCGTAAACTGGAAGGGGCCCTTGGAGAGATGGGGACCTGGGCCTGGGGAGGAGTGGGGTGACAGGTCCCCGCCACCCCCGCGAGCGTCCAAGAAGGACACCGCTTGTATCTGGGGCGCATGGACATCAGAGGGACCCCACTTGGACCAGGGGGCAGCGATCGTCCAGCAAGTAGGGCCTTGCACCCGGCCGACCCGAGTTCGATCCCTCGCGTTCCACAGGATTCCCTGAGACCACCGGGGAGGGACCCCTGAGTGCAGAGCCAGGAGTCCCCGAAGCCCCCCCCCCAAAAAAAAGAGGCAGATATCATGGAGCTCCCCTGGAGTGGACAAGGGGGTACTCTTGGGGTACTCCGCAAATGAAACGAGGAACGGAATAAGGGGATGAAAGGGAGGGTCCCGCAGTAGACTAGTCAGCAAGAAGGGACCCCCGTCCCATCCCCGCCCTGCATCGCGGGGTGCATTTTTGCTAGGGAGGGGGTTCGAAGTTCTCAGCAGTAAACCCTCCTCGGCCTGGCTGGCTAGCGCACAATCCAGCTGCCGGGTGAGAAGACCCGCCCCCCCCAATTCTCCCTCCCACCCACGCCCCGCCGCCGCCCCCCAGCCCCGCCGGAAGGGGGCGGGCGGTGGACGCCCCCAGGCGCCCTGTCGCCGCGCCTGGTTGCCCGGGAGACGGTGCGGGAGGCGGGCGGGGGGCGCAGCTGCGCCGAGCGTGGGGAGCTCTGGGCGGAGCGCGTTCCCACGGGCCGCCCCCTCCTCGGGCCCGCGGGGAGCAGGGGGTGCGGGCAGCGCTGGCCCGGTCACTCCTAAGGGGACTGACCCTCGCACCCTAGCTGGTCCCTCTCTGGGAGGCTGGGGAGGGTCTCCCTTTGGGGAGGGGGGGTTTCCTCTGGGTGATGCGGGACCCCGGGGGTTCCCCCGTGAAGGTGGGGGTCTTGGTGTGTGTGTGTGTGGCGGGGGGGGGAACCAGACACAGGCTGAGATCGGGTTTACAAAAGGACGTTTTAATTAAATACAAGGGGGTGGGTGCCAGGCAGGGCAGGGGGGGGGGCAGGGGGCGCCGCTGGAAAGCACAGGTCTCTGGGATCACCCTCTCCTCTTCTCGCGGCCGCAGCAAAACGGACGGTGACCAGCAAGGGTCACCAGCCCCCCTGGGGTCGACGGGGTACGAGACAAGGCGCGGCCAGACACAAAGGAACACGGGCCGCTGCCCGCCTCCCCTCGGCTCCCGCCCCCCACTAAGGCGTTTCCCAATGCTTGGGGGCGGGATTTGAGGGCGCAGATGAACCAGTCCCGGGGCAGGGCTGGGACCCCAACCTCCTCCTCCGCGGCCCCCCCCCTTCCCAAAAGGACACTCCGAGCTCGCTACCCATCCCTGGATCCTGCCAGGGGAGGGGGGGGTGTCCGAGTCTGTGCCAGCCGCAGCCAATCCCCTCCCCCGATTTGGAGAGAGGAAGGTTCTGGAGCAAATGTTATCTTGGGGGGGGGGGGCCGGGGTCCTCACACCCTCAGCCGGGAGCCCCAGCCATCGCAAGCGACAGAGGGACCGTGCCCCTCTCAATTCAGAGCACTGACACTCCCCTTCACATCCCCTGAGGATGTGGGGACCCCCCCCACCCCCCCGCAGGGCCCGATCAGTAAAGGGATTGATTGGCCCTTGAAAAAATATTCTACCCGGTCCAAAAAACGAGCTATCCCAGGGAATTCGGGGGGGGGAGATGACCCCCCCCACCCCATTCCCGCTGGCTTAGGGCGGGACCCCCATTCAGTCCCGACAAACAGAAGTGGGGGGGGCTTGGGGAAGAGGGAGGGTGTGGATCCAGGACACCCGCCTTCAGGGCGGGTGGGACTGATTGTCACGAGATGCTGCCAAAGGCCAGAGTGGGGGAGCCCCCCCCCAAGTCTCACACGCACTCACACACCCGCCCAGAGGGGGGCAGCTGAGCACCCCCCCACCCACCCAGCAGAGACAATAAAATAAATAAACCCCTTTCGCTCCCTTCCCGTGAGACCCACCCTGCCCCCCAAGTGAGTCAAAACACTCTTTGGAAGAACCCCAGTTTCTGTCCTCATCACCCCCGAGTCTGTGCACTGGACACCGGGACCCTGGGGCCACCCCTCCCCCACTCCCACCGCGCCCCCCCCTCTCGGTAGGGGGTGGGGCAGCCCTCCAGGGGGGGGTCACGGACACACCTGAGATTGAGTACCCGAGTGGGGGGGTGCGGCCAGGCCGCACCCCTTTTTCCCTGAACATCTCCAATGGCTTTCAGTGGGGTGCGGGGGGCCCCAAGCTGGGGTTGGAGGTTGTGCATGTGTATGTGTGTGTGTGTGTGTGTGTGTGTGTGTGTGTGTGTGTGTGTGTGTGTAGGGGGGAGAGGAGACCCTCTGGTTTGTCGTCTATGGCTCTTCATACTTCATCCCAAACCAGAGAGAGGTCTGGGGGGGGCCCGTCCCAGCACCGGGAGGGGCTTTAGCCCTGCGCCCCCCTCACCCCCCAAAAAAACTGGGCGTTGGTGTGGGGTGGGGCGACAATACAAGGTCCCCCCTGCCCCAGTCTGAACGGAGGTGGGGGGAGAGAGTTAATGGTCATGGGTCATGGCTATTTACACGTAGCAGGGGGTCCCCTCCAGTCCCCTTTGTGCCCCGGCGGATCCCCCTGGGGTCCTGGACCCCCCCCACTGCGCTCTTGAGAAGGGCAAGGTCAGTTTCAAGGGGGGGGGTGGGAGCCCTCGGAGGGAGGGAGGACGAGCATCCGCACTGGGAGGATGGGGGGGAGTCGGTCAGTGCTCCGGAGCGCCCGTGGGGGTGCAGACCCAGGGGGTGGGTTTCAGGGGTGGGGGCGGCGCCGCCCTTACAGGCCGGCCGGGGCCGGGCTGGGCGCGGGGCTGGGCGCGGGGCTGCCCGCCAGGCTGCAGGGCAGCGAGTCGCAGGGGGAGGCGCTGCGGGCGCCGGGGCGGCGGAGCAGTTCGGGCCTGAAGTCGGGGTGCCGGCGCGCGTGCTTGGTGAGGTGGTCGCTGCGGGTGAAGCGCTTGGTGCACAGCGGGCAGGGGAAACGCTTCTCGCCGGTGTGCGTCCGGTGGTGGCGCGCCAGCTCGTCGGAGCGCGCGAACTTCTTGTCGCAGCCCGGCCAGTCGCAGGCGAAGGGGCGCTCGCCTGCAGAGGGGTGGGCAGAGAGAGGGCAGAGGCTGGTGAGTCGCGGAGGGCGCGGGGCCAGTGCCACCCCCTACACCCCTACACGCCCCCCCCAGAGGTCCGTCCGCTGCGGCCCCGCGGCTCGGACGCCCCGACGCCCCGACGCCCCGTCCGACGCAGTTTCTCCAACCCGGGATGTGTTTTTTTGGGGGGCTTTTCTGGGTCACACCCGGGGCTCCCGGGACCAGGAGGGGAGCCGGGCTGAATGGCTGGGCCAAGTTCAGCCCTTTGGGCGCCCTGGGATTATTTTTTTCAGTTGTTTCTGTTTCGGGGGCTACACCCGGCGATGCTCAGGGGGTTACTCCTGGCTCTGCGCTCAGGGTTCACTCCTGGCGGGGCGCGGGCGCTGGAACCTGGGTCTGCCGCGTGCCAGGCAAGTACCCTCCCCGCTGCACAATCGCTTCGGGTCCCGCGTCCCGAGGGTCCGCTCGTCCCAGCCCCCCCAACACCCCTCTCGACCCCTCACCCCAGCACACCGCCTCCTTTGGAAAAAAAAAAAAAAGCACCCAGAGTGCAAAGTGCGCAGAATTGGGGGGGGTGGCGGACGAAGGTGAATGCACCTGATTTCTCGGCGACCCCTGGTACAGGGGCATGGGAAGGGCACCCCCCGGCCCAGCGGTCCGACTGGGCGGAGATCATCGGGGTCCCGGGGCGCGGGTCCCCGAGTCTGCAGAGGGGAAGCACGAGCGCCCCGCCTGGCCCCGCCCCCCCAGCCAGATGGCGGGGAGGGGACGGCTGCCACCCTCTGACTTCCTCCCCTCACCCCGCCCCGCCCACCGCGCCGGCCTCACCCATCCTGCCCCCCAACTGCGCCAACAGCGCCATCCGCCTCCCAGGGCCGGACCCCAGAACCAGGCCGCCCAGGGGCTGGGTCACCACCCAGCCGCAGGGCAAGCGTTAAGGTGTCCCCAGACCGCTGACCAGGGTTGAGGCAACGGGGTGGGGGGGGGGGGGCGCGCGGGCACCACGCCCAGGCCAAGGGCCAAGCGCGCGCGCGCGCGCACCCGCCTTCCGATCTGCAGGCGCTTGTGCCCTGCCGGGACCAGAGCGGTGGCGGCTGGTGGCGCGCCCCCGCTTAGGGGACCGGATCCATCGTGAGGGCCGGGGGTGCAGAGCGGCACAGAAGGGGACCCCCAGGGCCCTCCCCCAAGCTAGAAGGGGGAAATGGGGTGCAGGGGAGGGGAGGTGGGTGAAGAAAACCTGACCCCCATCCCTTCTTCCCAATCTCACGCCCCTCAAGTACATTAAAGGGGCGCGAGAGAGCAGCGAGCCCCTCCGGGGTTCTAGGGGTACTAGGGGTCACGGCGACAACTGCTACTGGTGAAAAGCAACCCTCTCCCCACTCCCTGGGGCCGCCGCCGCTGCCCCCAAACCCCGTGCATAAGCCCCCTTCCCCCCTCAAGAGATCTAGAACACTGCGGGGGGGGGGGGGGCGTGCAAGAAGCACCGGAAGGAACCCCTATCCCCAGGCAGTAAAACGTGAGAGCTGGAAGGGATGCCCCGGGGGTGGAAGGGGTGCTGGGTTTTTTTTGGGGGGACGCGGGATCGGGTTTGCAAAGGGAGATTAGGAAGGGACAGCCGCGACCCAGCAAGGGGCGCCCTGTCCTGCGGGGGGGGGGGGGGGCCGGGGAGTACCCCTCTCAAGGGGCAAGGAAGGCAAGAGGGGGCGCTCTGGGGCCCCTCGGAAAGGCTCACTTCCCCATTCGGGCTGAGGGGCTGCCCCCCCACCACACGCACACCTCAGCTTCCAGGAAGCCACGCGCAGGGACACTCCCTCACTGCCCATCTCCCCCAAAGGCTAACACTGGGGGGTTCCTCTCGCCCCACCGTAGCAGGGGCCAGCGCCTTGGGGGCCTGAGCGCCGGCTGGACCCTAGCAGCTCCCCCGTTTGGAGACCTGCTCCCCCTAGGGGTGGGGGGCTGTCGGGGACACCAATGAAGACCACCAGGAGAATTGCAAGGGTACCGAGGGGTACCCAGGGAAGCTGAGGGAGGCGATTCCGGGCGGCAGGTGGGTGGGGTCCCCTGCGCCGAGGACTGCTGTCCCCAAGGCTTTCTAAAGGACATCGGCTGGTGGGGTGTGTGACTCTACACCCACCAGACACCAAAGGTACCCACCCTGTCTACTGGCAGAGCAAGCCGCGTCCCCCCTGCCCAGTCCGTCTCCCAAGAACTGCTCCCCAAAACTCCTGCCTGACCCCTCCACTGCCCACCCAGGCTCCCAGAGCTTGGGAGCTCCAAACCTTAGAGGCAGCCCCCCCACCCCACTGCTCCCCGGGAACCAGATGCCCCACACTGCTACTATCTGCCACCTCCCGGCCATCTGTACCACCTTTATCAGGAAGCTGGGTGGGGGGTGGTTATCACCCCAGCAATGTTGGGGGGGCCCCGTCCCCACCAGCGGGCACCCTGGCAGAGAGACTCACAGCCGCCCCCCCCCCCATAAGACTCTCTCCTCTTCCACAGAGCCCCTGACCTGGGGAGAACGTCCACTGGGAGAGGCCGCCTCACGCCTCCTGCCTCAGTTTCCCTACTGACCTCTCCCACAGGGCCTTCCCTCAAAAGCGGGGGTCCGCCTCGCTGCCTCCCTTCCTCCCGCCGCACTGGGACTGCACCCCTTACCCCTAGAGGCGTGCCCCCCCCCATCTAATCCCTTCAAAGTAAAAGGATTTTCCTGACCAGTCTACTCCCTGCGCACGCCCCACCCGGCAGCCTACCCAACGGATTAGAGGGAGCCCAGGCCTGGGGGGGTGGGGGGGTGCTCCCCTCCCTCCAATCTCAACCCAGATGCGCCCAGAGACTGGAGCCCTGCGCCCCACGAGCTGGAGACCCAGCTCACTGCAGCGTGCAAATTGCGGGTAGGGGGTGTCTCACGGGGACCAGGGGGCGTCCCGAGCTGCCACCCTGGAGGGGTTGGAGCCACATCTGGGGCCCTCCTGTCCACGAGACAGGGGCGCCCTGGCATAAAGACGAGGGAGGGGGGTTGCTAGGGCAGCTGCTTCGCGCCCCCCCCACCGCAGTGCCCGGGGCAGCTCCCCCAAAGCCCTTGGCATCGCGCGCCGATTGAGGGGGGGCGCGCGGCGGGAAGGAGCCAGCAGCCTCTCCGCCCCCGCCCCCGCGCCCCTTTCTCGTCTCCACAGCAACCGCGTCAGCGGCACCCTGGCTCCTGCGCCCCGCCCCCCCTCCCCGCCCGTCTCCCCACGCCCCTGCGCCCCCCGGGGCCAGTCCCAGCCGTCCTCGGTCTGCCCCCAGCCCTGGAAAGCGCCAGGGAAGCCCCCCCGCAAACCTCCCCAGCACCCCAAAAGCGCGCTTGGTGGAAGGGGGTTGGAAGAGCCTGCAGAAAACCTCAAAGCCTGCCCGTACCCCCAAAGGCAAGGCCTGGGCGATCGATCCTGGCTGGGGGCCCCTCGGACGCCAAACCGGGAATTATTACTAAACCCAGGGGTGCCAAACCCCCAGGCCCCGTTCTACGATAATAAAAGGGGGCTTAGAAGTAATATAGCAGCAGCCCCCCTGGGGGTAACGGAGCCTTACCATACCTGCGCGCCCCCCTCCACTTCCTGCACCCACAATGTGGGCACCCACACGGGCACAGTCTCCGGGCCATCGGTGTCCCAATAAATAGTGGGGGTGAAAGTTTGCCGGTGACCTCAGGGCCTCAAGGCTTGCCAGAGGCTCCAAAGACCACCCAGGGCAAAAACGGCTCCAGGAAGGAAAGGGCAACCCCACCCCAAGTCAGGTCTGGCAGTTTGGGGGTTTTTTGGGGGGGGGGTGCTGAGGAGAGCTCTGGGTTTCGCGCAGGGGAGAGGAGAGGCGGGCGGAACGGTGGGGAAGGGGGTGCCGGGCACCCGCTCTCATACTCCGCCGCTGCCTCCCCCCAACCCCCCGAGGCTGGGGCCGCGCCCACGCCACCCCCGCGCCCGCCCGTCCGCACCCCCGCCCCCGTGGGCTCCCCACGTGCTCCCGCAAGCACCCTCGCACGAGGGGCGGGGTTTCGCGCTGCCCGTTCCACGGAGGAGCACGAGACCCCACGCTGGGTAAGTCGTGGGTCCAACGGCAGCGAGCCCAGAGCACCCCCCCCAAACGAAGGCGCCCCCCCGCCCGCCCACGCTCAGGCCCCAGGACCTTCGGGTCGGCTCCCCGGCCCCCCACGCCCCGCCCCGCGCGCGCCGCCCCAATCCCAGCCCATTCCCAGCGTGGGCGGCGGGGCCCCAGGGGAGCAGGGCGCAGGTACGCGAGGGAAGGGGTGACCGCGGAGGGGGTGACGCGCGCCCCCCCAGCCCTGGCAGCCGGGATCCCCCGAACGTTCCCCACTGCGACGAGTGGAGCCCAGAGACACTCGGGGGGCCGCTCCCCTCACCCCAACCGGTTGCCACAGCAGGTGGTAGGGGAGGAATAAGGGGCGGACGCCGGGTGGGGCCCGGACTCCCCCCGAATCAGGCCCCAACCCCCAGAGCCACGCCGGGGCTCCCCCCTCCTGCCCCGGGCCTGGCGAAAACGCAGCGAGCGATGGAAACGTGCCGGGCACCCCCCAACCTGGCCGCGCGCCAGGCCGCTCTGCCGCCCTCTGGGACCAATTCGCGCGGCCACCCCGGAGGCGGGGCGCAGCCGCCGCTCGGGGCCGGGGGCGGGGGGAGGCAAAGAGCAAGGGGAAACTGAGGCTGGGGCCGAGCGCGGAGGTGCCGTCTCCCAGCCCACGGCGCCCCCTCCCCCGAAGTCACGCCCCGGCGGCGAGGAAAAGAGAAAGTCAGCCGGAGGAGGGGAGGGAAGCGGGGGGGCCGGGCGGGGGGCGGGGGGACGGGTCGGGGGGGCCACGATCGCGCCCGCCGACCCCGCCGGCCCCGGCGCTGCCGCCGCGGCGCCCGCCAACCGCGCGCCGCCGGACCGCGTGGCCGCCACGCCCCCCGCGCGCGCCCCACCCACCGGGGCTCCGCCCTCCCGGCCGGCGCGGCGGCGGCGGCGGCCGCCCGGGCGCGCCCCCCTCCCCGCCCCCCACGCGCCACGCACTTTCGGGGTCCCGGCGGGGGAGGGGGCGCCCCCCGAGGGCCGCCCCCGCGCCGGCCGGCCCGCTCGGCCCGCCTCACCTGTGTGCGTCCGCAGGTGGGACTTCAGATGCGAGGACTTGTAATAGGCTTTGGCGCAGCCCGGGAAGGGGCAGCGGTGGCTCTTGGCGGCGGCGGGCGCGGCCCCGGGGGCGCGGCCCGAGGACGGCGACGAGGCGGCCGAGGAGGACGAGGCGGGGGAAGCGCCCCCCGGGGCGGCGCCGGGCCCGCCGCGCAGGTCGGCCAGGATGCTGGCGGCCAGCAGGTGGAGCGCAGGGGCGCCGCCCGGGCCCGGGGAGGCGGGGGACGGCGGCGGCGGCCCCGGGGGCCCGGTGGGGGCGGCCTCGCGGAGGGGCGCGCGCACCTCCAGGCCGGCGGCGGCGGGGCCCGCGCCCTCGGGGCCCGGCCGTCCGCGGTGCACCACGGCGCCCGCCGCGATGGCCATGAGCACGTCGGCGGCGAAGTAATCCACGCACGCCACGGCCGCCGACATACCGGGCAAGGGCGCGCGCGGCGGCTGGAACGGGCGGAGCGGAGGCGGCGGGAGCGGCGCCCGATCGGCCGGCGGCGGCAGCTCGAGTGCGGGAGGCGGAGGAAGAGGAGGAGGAGGAGGAGGAGGAGGCCGGCGCGCGCCGCCGCCGCCGCCGCCGCCACCCGCGCTCCGCCCGCCCCGCCCCGCCTGACGCGCCCTGACGCACCGGAGCCCGCGGGGGCGGCCGGGCCCGCCCCGCCCGGAGGACGCCCCCTCGGGGCGCCGCGGCCACGCCCCCCGCCCGCCGAGCCCTCCCGGGCCTGGGCCGGCGCGCGCGACCGCGGGGGGCGGGGCTGGGCTGCAGGGGCCGCCCTTCGGCGCGCCCACTCCGGTGCCCCGCGCGCCCTCCCCGCCGGGCGCACGGCCCGGATCCCCGCCTCCGGCCGGCGCGCCCCTCTTTCGCTGCGGCGCGGCTCTCTCTCCGAGCCCTCCGGCCCCACCCGGGCTCCCGGGCTCCGGCGTCCCCCGAGCTCCGACCCCGCCCTCCCTCTCTCGCCAGCGCCCCCGCCGCCCGCGATCGCGCCCCGCCCCGCCGCGCCCCTCCCTCGCCGGCGCGCGCCCCGCCTCCTAGCGGGCGCGCCCACCCCAGGCTGGGGCGCGCGGCCGGCGGGAGCCCGCCCCTTCGCTGGCGTTTGCGGCCCGGCTCGGGGCGCGCCCCCGATCGCCGAGGGGGGAGGGCACCCCACGTGGCCGGGAGGGGGGCGGAAGCGGCCGGCCCCGCCCCCCGGCCACGTGCGCGACCCTTCCCCCTGTCTTAGGCCGCCCTACGCGCCGCCTGGCTCGCGCGACCCGGCGCCTCGGCTGCTCCCGGACCCCAGTGGGGGCCTCCCTGGCCTGGGCATCAGCGGCCCCCACGACTGAACACGGCAGGGGAGGAGCGATCGCCCCGCAGGCTCAGCAGAGCCGGCGATCGTTCCTCTTTTTGCGCCCCGTGCCGGGCCGGTGCGGGCCCGGCGGAGGGTGGGGAGGGCCGGGGTGCGGATGGGTGCCGGGGCGAGGCGGGGACATCGCCTCCCGGCGCCGGGCTGGGAATTCCGAGGGCTGGCACGGGGACGGCGCCGACCTCCTGCCCCCGGGGTGGCCCTGGGCACGGGCCTAACGCGGCGCCCAGAGGCCGCAGGCCCTTGGGGGTCGGCGGAACCCGCAGGCCCCGGCGTCCGGCGCGGAAGTGAGGCGGCGGGGTGGCCCCCCTCCCCGGCGACCACGCCCCCGCCCCTTCCTGAGCCGCGGGCGGCGGCGGCCGTGCAGTGCCCCGAGCGGCCTCCAGGGGGCGGCGCTGCCGGGCGGGGCGGGCCTCGGCGGCGAACCTGTCACGGGCGCCCGCTCAGGGGGCGGGGAGGGGACCGCGGCCCTCGGTCGGGTCCCCCTCGTGCTCCGCCTGGGCGCTTGCAACTCCTGCTAACCTGTCCGTCTGTCCGTCTCCGCTGCCTCCGGGGCTGCCCCACTGTCCCCGGTTCCTCCGGATCCCCCGCTCCCCGCAGTCCTGGCTGGGCACCCCATGGTGGGGTTGCGGCTTCTTTGGATGTCTGAGTCTTCCTGGACCCCCTCCCCCAGACCCGAGGACCGCCCAGACCTTTGAAAGTTTAGGAAGGTGAACCGCTCCCCCCACCCCGTAGATTCCCGCCTGCACCCACATAAGTGGCAGGACACCCCAGACCTTCCTGGTCCTTGTACCGATTAGGAAGGGAGTCCGGAGTCACCCTTAGCAGCCGCGGCCCACCCCAAGATACTTACATGCCCATCAACCCTGCCCTGGAGGGGCTCACAGGCTGGGGTGGCAGAGAGGGGCAGAGCAGGTCACGTGGGACCCCATGGGGGGGGGAGGGGGCACCTTTTCCGGCTCACCCGGGCTCATTCAGAGGGGTCCATTTCTTCTGCAGTTGAACTCTTTATTTTGGGGGTTCGGGAGGATTGAACGGGGCCCTCACACGTGCCTGATCAAATTTAATTGCCCCTAAACCATAAAAGCCCCACCCCCCTTTGCTTTCTGTAGTTTTCATTTTATTTGGTTTGGGGGCCACACCCAGCAGGGGTTAGGTCTGGCCATGCTAGAGACTGAGCCCGCGGCCTTCCGTGCCAGCCTCTCCCAGCGCAGAGGGCGTTTGCCTTGCACGTGGCTAGCCAGGGTTCCATCCGCGGCATCCCATGCGGTATCCTGAACACCACCACCTTGAGTGCAGAGCCAGGGGAAGCTTACCCCTGAGCCTTGCAGGGTGTGACCCCAAAAGAAAAATATGTCTCTATCACAAATCACAAATCATCCAGTTATTCGTCGATTGCCTCGAGCAGGCCCCAGTAACGTCTCCTTCATCCTAGCCCTGAGATTATATTCAAGGCTCTTTAGGAGAATGAGACCCATCATTGTTACTGGTATTTGGCACATTTGGTACGCCACAGGGAGTTTGCCAGACTCTCTCCATATATACATAATATTTATTCATATCAGGCCAGAGCCTTGAACGCAGCTGGTCCTGGTTTCAATCCCCAGATCCTATGTTGTTACCCCCTGAGTCTACCAGGAGGGATCCCTGAGTTCTGTTGGGTGTGACCCAAAAAACGAACAAAAAACATATATATTTTAATGGGAGCTGGGGATAGGGCACAGGCACAATATCCTGAATTTGATCCCTGGCACCGGGATGGACCCACCACCCTGTGCTTTATTTGTTTAAAATCAATTGGCTCATACCCACTAGCACCCCAAAACACTGCCAGGTGTGATAAAAATTAAATAAAAATTAAGTTGAGGGCCAGAGCGGTCATACAGCAAGGAGGGTGCTTGCCTTGCATGCTGCCAACCTTGCCTTGATCCCAGCATCCCACATGGTCCCTGGAAGCACCACAAGGAGTGATCTCAGAGCACAGATCCAGGAGTAAGTCCTGAGCACTACCGGGTGTGGCCCCAAAATTAAAGAAAAAAAAATTGCAGCTAGAGAGATTATACAATGTCTTTGATCCAGGCTCGATTCCCCAGCATCCCAGATCGTTCCCTGGGCCTATCTGGAGTAATCCTTCAACACCAGTAGAAAAGCCCTGGACATCAGCAGGTGTGCACCTCCCGCCAAAAAATGTATTTCCTCCCCCTCCTCCCCCTTCTAGAGCATGTGGGATTCAGAACGGCAGAAGAGAAAGTCAAGGAAACCAGAGCGATATTCCAGCAGGGAGAGCGATTGCCTTGCACGCAGCCGACCCATGTTCGATCCCGAGCACTCCATACGGTCCCTGAGCACCGCCAGGAGTAATCCTGAGTGCAGGAGTGATCCCTGAGCACCGCCGGGTGTGACCCCAAAAACCAAGACAAAGAACCCTGGACATATGAGCAGCATACTCCCCCCACTCCTGAGTCTCCCCCCCCAATCCACAATGAAAGCCTAATAATGGGCAAAAACAGAAGAGGGGACCCCTCACCAGGCCCCTGTCTGGTCCCTCCCAGCTGTCGGTCAAGGCCAGTGGTCCCCAGGGAGCACAGAGGTAATGGGGATTTTTTTTTTTTTTTGCTTTTTGGGTCACACCCGGCGATGCACAGGGGTGACTCCTGGCTCTGCACTCAGGAATGACTCCTGGCGGTGCTCGGGGGACCCTATGGGATGCTGGGAATCGAACCTGGGTCAGCCACGTGCAAGGTAAGCGCCCTACCTGCTGTACTATCACTCCAGCCCCCCAGTAATGGGGATTTGAGGGAACATAAGGGGAGGGGGTGGTGACCTGCGGCACAGGGACTATGGGGGAAACTGAGGCACTGGCCTAGATTCTGGGGTCCTGGGACTGCGAACAGGACACAGGGGGTCCACAGGGTAGTAGGAACCAACAGCTCCTCCGGTTCTTTCTTTCCTCCCTTCCTTGTTTTTGGTTTTGGTTCTGGGGCCATGCTCAGGGCTTACTTCTAGTTATGCACTCAGGAATCACTCCTGACAATGTTGAGAGACCATATGGGACGCCAGGAATTGAACTCAGGTTGACCACAAGCAAAGCAGGCACCCTTCCTGCTGTACTATCACTCCAGCCCCCCCCCCCTCATTTTTGCTTTTTGGGTCACACCCAGTGATGCACAGGGGTTACTCCTGGCTCTGCACTCAGGAATTACTCCTGGCCGTGCTCGGGGGATCCTATGGGATGCTGGGAGTCAAACCCGGGTCAGGCCACGTACAAGGCAAATGCCCTACCCGCTGTGCTATCACTCCAGCCCCTCTCTCTCTCTTTCTTTTCTTTCTTCCTTTCTTTTAATTTTTGGGACCACTTGCAGCTGTGCTCAAGGCTTCCTCCTGCCTCTGAGCTCAGGGGTCACTCCTAGTAGGGTTAGGGGTCTCTATGGGGTGCTGGGAATCGAACTCAGGTCGGCCACAAGCAAAGCAAGCACCCTCCCTGCTGTGCTATCACTCCAGCCCTAATTCTGTTTTTTGTTTTTAATTTTGGGGGCCACCTGCAGCTGTGCTCAAGGCTTCCTCCTGCCTCTGAGCTCAAAGGGGTCACTCCTGGCAGGGTGAGGGGTCTCTATGGGGTGCCAGGTCAGCCGTGCGCGAGGCAAACACCCTCCCCACCATCCTGAGGCTCCATGCCGGTGGCGGCTTTGCTGAGAATCAAACTCATTTAGGACACGGGTCCTTGCAACAACCCCCCAACCACGTGGAACTGAGAGCCCCCTCACCCCAGCTGCACCCCAGCAGTAGCCCTATCAGGCCCTCCTCACACCTTTCACTCTCGTGCCCTTTGACCCAGCAGGGCCGCTCCTAAAACGGTGCCCAAGAAGGCGGGAGAGGAAGCAGGAGAGGGGTAGGAACCCCAGCTGTCCCGGGGGCAGGTGGGCGCCTGCCCCTAAGACTTTCGGTTCTCAGGGTCCCTGTGGTGCTTGTGGGTCGCGTCCAGCTGTGCTTGTGGTGGGGGCTGGAGCCCGGGGTTCTGGCATGCAAAGCCTCTGGCCGGGCCCAGAGAGCCTTCCCCGCACCCTGCCGGGAATTTTCCATTTTATCTGGTCTGTGAACAGACTGGGAGGGACTGGGACTGGGGGGGGGGGGGTGACGGAGAACATCAGAGACCAAGGGGCAGTGGGCAGGCCTGTTTCTGCATGTGCTATGTGCATGTGTACGTGCACCTGTGTATGTGTCTTTGTGTGTGTGTGTGTGTGTGTGTGTGTGTGTGTGTTGAACCTCTTTGGTGCGGTTGGGGGAGGGTCCTGCTGGCTGCCCTTTAGCAAGACCTCCA